GGGGTTAATTCCTCATTTCTGGAAAGGGCTATCTGCACCATAACTATCACCTTTTACATACACGCACACACAAAAAGAAAAGGAAACATATATTAAAAACACTTTTTAAGCAATACTCTGGATACAAATGTATTTTTTAACCTACATATATTCTAAACCTTCTAAACTTTTAAGGATCACTTTATCATAAAATAAAATATCCTTTTTTTTTCTTATAATAAATTACCTAATAAAAAGTATTTTTATTAGCCCAGTTCCTTGCTACATTTACATGTAATAAATGCATTTATTAAAATAGAATATTAAATTATAAAGAAATGTTCTAATTTTAAAATCTTCATCTTTTTTTTTTTTTTTTTCCCCCTCCTCTCTCTCTCTTTAAAAAACACCAGAAAATGCATCAAAATAAACCCTTCAAATACTAAATAAACAGGTTGGAGCATTTTGATTTCAGAGGTTCACAACAGTAACAGTCTGAGCCTTGGTACGTATGGACTTCTGTTTTTCTTCTTGTTTTAAGAAAGAAAGAAAAGAGAAAAAAAATAATAGTTATCCCTCCAAGCTGAAAAATACTTTTGCAAGCGGGAGCTAGGACAAGATATTTTTATAGTATCTCCTCATTAAATATAAATCCAATTTTGGTTCTTTTTTTCTTTCTTTTTTCCCCCATTCTGTATTATAATGCACACTACTCTATATAATTTCTGGGGCTGAGCACGGTGCCGCGGCGGGACGTTATCCCAGCCTGCACCTCCGGGAGCACCAGGAATGCTCGGGAAGCAGGCGGGGTGCCCGGCAGCGCCTGGGAGGCCCTGGGAATGTGCCGGATATTCCGGGAGCACTCGGGATGCTCCAGGTGCACTCGGGATGCTCCAAGTGCACACGGATACCCCAGGATCACGCAGGCTGCTCCGGGAAGCTTGGCGCGCACCGAGGGATTTTCTTTCTCTCCCACTTGCTTAAACTTAAGCTTAAGCTTAAGCGGGAGGCGAGCCCGGCCGCTCAGCGCTATCGCTGGTGATCGAGACCAACAAGCCAGTTTTAGTCACCTACCAAGGAAGATACAAGTCAGAGCAAATAGTTAAGGTCGTGGGCATTTTTGTCGTTTTTTTTTCTTTTT